TATTTGTACCCTTCATATATTTGTGTGTGCGAGTCATCCACAGGCTTTAATTAGTTTTTCGAATTTCCCCACTTTCCAAAATCACTGCTATGGGTTTTACTTAACTTTCTGTTTGTTTTCAGTTGCAAGGTCGTTACATCCTCTATTCCTCTCCCCCAATATCAGTTAATTTTCATTGAAATTAAAATTATCTGACCATCCAACATATGAAATTCCTATTAACAAAGTTAAAAATTAAGTTCTAACTAAACATGTTGCGGTTTAGCTACCTCAATAACCTTGACTATTCTCAGAAATCTCTGTAACAATTTCTTCCCACACGAAAGTCCCTGTGAATTAACACGGAATACGTCTATTCGATACATATATTAATAGCGAAGTGTGTGTTTGGCAAAGCGATTAGTTATCAGATAACTCTGGCATGATTCGTGTGAACATTAATAGCTAAATATTTCTGAGTAGTGTTCTATAGCAGAATTTCTATTTGGTCATTGATGGAGTTTACCACAAACACGCCTCCACTTACTACCAGCCTAAATAGAAGTTCGAACTAACAAACATTATTTTTCTTTTAATATTGTTGTCTAATAAATTTGTGGAGAGATGACTACACCTTTCGACTCTATATGAACCATTTTAGCGTGTTAAAGCGTGCTAAAGGAACTTAAAAGGATCAAAGTCAACCGTGGTGGTTGATTTCATTAAAATCAATTAACTTAAATTAGATTAATTTTTATGGAGTGTAAAGTTTTCCGTTTTCTTCAGGCTTTCTCGACCTCTATAAACAACTACTTCATTGAGACATTAATTGAAATTCCTTTCATCTACTAAGCATTATTAACCAGATCACAAGACTATTTGCCAGACACTAATTTACCATTTCTGGGGTGTGTGATAGACTTACCTCCACGTGGTGCACCCTGGGCAACGTATACTCATACGGCAAAAAAGTCTATTAACTGGCAGTTGACTTCTCACTTCAAACTACCATGACCCCATTGTATGTTATATTCGACCCTTCCACAGTACTCACCTCACATTTTTTCTACCTTTACGTGTTTCTTTTACATCTTTGAAACACTCTTCCGTCCCCCCTCTCGACTTTTTTCAAATTGATGTACCTTCTTCTCTGTGAAGCCTGAAGTCAACTAAAGGGCTAATGATAACCATCAATACGCCTGCCATTTGGTATAATAATTTACCATTTCTCTCCATTAGTTTGTATTTGCAAGTCTTTATACCTAGACATTCACTAGTTCAACAGAGGTTTATTTTCATCCTATTCTTAATTCGTCTGAACTTTAGGTTTAATCACTTTTTGAGGGTAGTTAAATGGAATGGCAGAGGTTTGAATGGTTGAACCGGCTTGTCTCTTGGCAAGATGAGGCTTCTTCTTAGAGTATTTAATCATAGGGAAACCAAAAACACCAGTTTAGCCAAAAGCAAAATTAAGGATGGGGCAATGCGAATGGAGGTCTTGGTTCTCAGGTTAATCTTTTTTATATGAAATATCATTAAGATATGATCACGTTTGTCCCATTTCTTATCTCTTTCGCTCATAGCCTCCGGTACATCAAACAATTGAATTGGGAAGTCCTTTAGTTGGTTAATCAAATTCAACTTTACCAGTGTAAATGCCCGTGTTTTCATTTGTCAATAGTTGATGACATCGAAGGAGCATTTAGAAACATCTAACCTTAGCTGCCAATATTATTTTAAATTGCATGTTCTAAAATTCACGTGAGTAAAATTTCATAGTTTGTCTTAGACAACTTGTCGGAAGCGTATATTTTCAATTCGGGGCGTGCGATAGATTTACCTCCACGTGGTGCATCCTGGGCAACGTATACTCATACGGCAAAAAAGTCTCTAAACCGATAGTTGATTTCTGACTTTAAACTACCATCACCCCACTGTATGCCATATTCGACTACTTTCACAGCACTCACCTCACCTTTTTCCTACCTTTGTGTCTGTCTCTTTTACATCTTTGAATCTCTCTTCTGCTACCCCTCTCGAATTTTTCTCACTTTGATGTTCCTTTCCTTCTGTGAAGCCCGAAGTCAACTAAAGGGCTAATGATAACTATCAAAACGCTTGCCATTTGATATAAATATTTTCTCTTCCGATTTATCGAACTGGAATAATTCTTATTAAATCAGGAAATTTCTATCAACTGAACAGCGACCAAAGTTACCAACGGGTATATTTGACTTTTATAATTCGCACTTTCATAATTAGAATATGACAGAAAAAATACCATTTAGAACACAAAGTGTATTTAGTACAGTTGATTTGCATGAAATATTTCTTTTAAATTCCCCATTTTCAGTTGAAGATATTTTATCGCTCATTCACCGTTCAAAACTTATCTCGGTATAACTCTCTCTCTCTCTCTTTCCGGCATATATTTAATCATCACTCTGCTTTTTGCTTTTCACTTTGGATTTAGGACGAACATAAACTTTTAATGGAGAGGCTGGGGGGGGGGGGAGTAGGTATCTGTAATCGTGGATTTGTCGGGCTAATAATAATTCACTGTTGAGGTGAAGTAACGCTATATTATGCCCTACAAGGTATTTGAAAACAACCTATGACTACCTAATTGTTAAATCGACGAATAAGAATGTCCCTAGAATATTTGGCTAAAAGGAAAATAAATTCTTCGAAATTGAGTATTTGGTATTAGAAGAAAATACTCATCGGAGTCATCCATCAACAGAAGAAATTAAATTAACAAACTCTTAGCACCGTGAATTTGAACTTACTTAGACAACGAGTGCCATAACCTGAAAATCGAATATTAGAACCCGAAATGTTTGAATGTGTACAAATAAATAAAGATTTTTCAACTGGAATTCAAATATCAAATCGTGCTAGAACCTTTTAATTATCTGGATTTATACTAAGTTTCAATCCTTATCAAAAGGCATCAACGAATCGTCTTGACGTTCCTTATTTTTTAGATAACATTCCGTGTGGAGTACGCAATTCTAATACGATTAAACTGCACACCTGAACATCCTGATGGGCGCAGACGTACGTGCAGAGGACGTCTTAGTCGGCTATTAAAGTTTACTCAAATTAAACTAAATGTATTCAATTTCTGATTATGTCTAATCTGATTGTAAAATCAAATAAACACTGCACTCTCCATACGTCTGCTATATCATTGAGATAGTTTAAATCATTTTAGAAGACGTACTAGAATTTTTTGCCTTAGAGGTTACTGAGGATAAGTCAATCTTAATTGTTTTGCAACCCGCTACACCCACAAGAGCAAATTTGCTCAGCTGTGAACACCAAATAAATGAAAACACCTATGTCTACAGTCGACTTAGAAAATTAAGGATAATTGAGAAAACCAAAGTGCGATGGCTGTCTAATGTTTTCGATTAGTTCATATCCGGGCTAATTCACTTAATGATACAGATGATATAATTTTTTCTCTTCAGTAAGTGCCTACTTAATTCAATCAATCTATATATCTATAAATTATCCTTAGTGTCAATGCCTATGAAATAATTTTGTTTATTTCATTTATAATTGGCTGGCATTTTAATATAATTACGTGAAAACAGGATAAAACATAAATTAAATTGTAAGTTTTTGCATAAATTGCTAATGTAGTTCTGTCATAAAATATTTCTTAGATGTACTTATTGTTTTGACCCTAAATAGTGCATTAAAAGTACGTTTTTCGATGAACTATCTTGTGAGAGAAATGACGATTCGGAGAGATCTATTAGATAAAGCCATTAAACTAATATGGATTTCCATATATTTTTGCATTAGTTCTTTTAGTGTTCAACTCTATCATTCTAAAACCGCGACAAACGAAAATGCTTGGCTCCCACGAATATGTTTCTTTGCCATGCCCTAGCACAACTGGTAAAGAACTTCTCGAGGCATTTATTCACGAGTTACCCGAAGAGTTTTTTTTCGTCACGGAAGAAGAGGCTGAATCACATTTTAAACGTCACATGGTGTCCTTATTAGGTAGTGAAGAAATTTTCGAAGAATTACAAAAAGATTGCAGGTACATTTACTTTAGTCATAGTTAGTTTTCACTGAAAATCTATAATTATTCTTTAAGTTTGGATAACCTCTACACTGAAGATGAATTCTATACACTTGATGAACTTCTTCACCATGTTCCTGATCGTCTGGGACGTAAATTAGATAAATTAAACACGCTTGATGCAATTCCTAAGAGTTTTAACGACAAAGATGCCTTTAAGAATTCGCTCAGTATTCGCAATCGCTTACGCAGACCCCTTGTTGATATGTGCTATTTGAATAAACCCGATAGTTCAATTGAAGGTGGTTTGCCCATTCAAGACGTCATCTTCACTATTTTCGTCTATCGCCCAGTTGCACTTGCTACCGTTGACTGTAGCAATGCAGTAAGCTTTCAGTTTCTATTTTTTCTTACCTTTTCTGCTTCGTTTTTCTTCCTTACATCTAACTATAGCCTTGGACTATGGTTATGGAGCAGCGGATCGAAATCTTGGGAACACAGTCGCTAAGCGCTCTTCGAGACGCTATACAGTGCCCACAGGATATGATTTACTTGGGAGATTGTTCGGAAGCTCTAGATAACCCAGACTTGCATATTCCAGCCAGAATGATTTATCCCTCCTCTTATTTCTTCATTGAAGGAGTCTTTTATGATGACATGCGAGACCCCAGAGCCACTCGTTTGAGTTCGTAAGTTTATGCTACATTTTATACCGATTTCTGTTATCAATCTATTACTTGGTACTCTCTTATTTCAGGACAGTGATCGAATGGCACAACAACAGAATTTTAAGACAAAGTGATTCCTACACCTCAACCAATATGACTGATCATGTCCTAGGAAACCTAAAAATAACACTAGGAAAACCTTATCTCTTCCTACATCAGGGGAATTGTGAACATATCATAATCGTCACTTCTATGAGGTTCTTTCTACTTATTTATTTAATTTTAATACTTCTAGTTTGTTTTTTTGTAATTATAATCTTGTGCGCGAAACATTGCCTATAATTGAATAGTGAGCTAAGTTACCTACTTTGTAAGTACCAATCAATCGACTTTTAGGTGAAAATGTACGTCTTCATTCAGTTTTTATTCGTTAAGAGTTTGCCAATTTCCTGTTCTCAGATTGACCGACCGAACAACTGCCCAATCGGTGGATTCGTATCCGATTTGCACGGGAAAGGCACCTCAAAAGCAAATGTCCTGTGAAGCTTGTAGCTGCCTTCGAGCTCAATGGTTAGTTCATGACGCTGGGGACCTATTACCAAAGGACCCTACCGCCCTCTGCATAACTTGTATTCGTTATCTCCTTTATACCCCAGATGGAAAAAAAATTCATCCTCGATTTCGGGTTCAGAAATTCTTTGGCTACGAGTTTTGTCGATGACATTTTGTGCTTGTCATACTAACAGTGTTGTAAATAAACTTTGTATTTTTATAACTCGAGTTCATTTTGTTTAAATTATAAATAAGTGAAAGTTCTGATTGGATGAATAGCACTGTTTTGACGTTCTAGATGTCAAGTTTGCAAGATGAATCGACAAACGCAGAAGTTTTTGAGATCCTTTGTGGTATTTCGAATGAATTAAGAACGGGATTGAATCAAGAGGAGCTCCAAGCATCTTTGCGTCTTTTAAATCAAGGTGTTGATCCTACGGCTCTTGCACTTCTTGTAAAACAACTCAAATCAGAAGCTAAAAGGATTAAGGCCGAGACAAGTAGCATCTGAAAGTGAATGTTATATAAAGCCTTTTAACGTTGACTCAAATTAGTGGAATTTCTTTTATGCCAACCATTTAAACATTATTAATTTGCTTTAAATAGTATTTTTATGGAACTTACGGGAGCGTTATACTTACATGATTGATCATTTTAAGGCTTAAATAGCTTGTACATTTTCGAGATGGTAGTAGTAGATACGAATGCATAAAAGGTTTGGTTGCTTCTGAGATGGGTCAAAATCGATTCTTGAAATAGCAACTTGAAGAACCGGCGAGAGAGTTGGTGGTTTGGGCAAATGCTTGGTATTCTGGAAAGCGTTAATGGGCGGCTGTATATACAATGATTTCGTGCTTTATAAACCGATAAATAATGAAAAATGCGTAACATATCTCTCATTAAAGATTAATAAAAATATACTAAAAATGTTTGGTATATTATGTAATTTTCAGGATAATAACATTTGCAATGTCGTTGTTTATATGACCTAAACACTCCTTTTTATTTGTTTATGTAACAGAGGCGACAAAATTATTTCGCTGTCTTTCAGTCCTGTGATTGGCTAACATTTTAACAAATCATTTTTTAGGATTTGTTAGAGAATACAGATCGCAGTGCTAAATAAATATCACGGTGAAATTTTCTGTCATTTTGGATTTGAAGTTACTGTAATAATGGGTCCGAAAGTTGTCTCAGGAAAAGCTGCAAAGAAGGCGTCTAAGGTAAAGGTGCCTAAGACGGATAAAGCAAAGAAGAGGAGAAGGAAGGAGAGCTATGCCATCTACATCTACAAGGTTCTGCGCCAAGTGCATCCTGATACTGGTATTTCCTCAAAGGCTATGTCTATCATGAACTCTTTCGTTAATGACATCTTCGAACGTATTGCCGCAGAGTCAAGTAGGCTGGCCCACTACAACAAGAAATCAACTATCACCAGCCGCGAGATCCAGACTGCTGTGCGTCTGCTCTTACCCGGTGAATTGGCTAAGCATGCCGTCTCAGAAGGCACAAAGGCCGTTACTAAATACACTGGCTCCAAGTAGAGTCCATAGACTGGAGTGCTCTTTTGTCCACCCCTTATATTTGTGTAAAGTGTGATTGGTCTCTTTTTATTAATGTCTCAATATAATCCATTATAATCCTCACAGATTTCCTCTATACTGCACCCCATATCAGCTTGCGAGTTAAGGAAGGCATAGCGGGCGTTAGTTTCTTTGCATTCTACCATTCTCAATTTATTAACTCTGTATTCGACTAGATAGCTAATCTTGCCCAATTGCAAAATAGAAGATAAGCCCAGCGTTATGGATTATGCGTATATACATATGCAAGTTAAGAAAGCATTTGTAATTAGCAGAGGGGGGGGGCAACAGCGGGGAATTTATTCCTTGCCAGTAGCAGCCTTTTCAGATTTCTTCGGTAGAAGTACAGCTTGAATGTTGGGTAGAACACCGCCTTGGGCAATAGTGACACCTCCCAACAATTTGTTCAATTCTTCATCGTTACGGATAGCTAGTTGCAAGTGACGAGGAATAATACGCGTTTTCTTATTGTCGCGGGCAGCATTGCCAGCCAACTCGAGAACTTCAGCAGCAAGATATTCAAGAACGGCTGCCAAATAAACAGGAGCTCCAGCACCAACGCGTTCAGCGTAATTACCTCGACGCAGCAGGCGGTGAACACGACCGACTGGGAATTGCAAACCGGCTCGTGCAGACCTCGTCTTCGCTTTTGCCCTTGATTTACCACCTTTGCCTCTTCCACTCATTCTAATCTTGCAAAATGGTGGCAAAACCTATGAAATCTATATAAATGCAAAAATAGCTAACTAATCCTCTATTCCTATTCGCTGATGCAGAAATCTGTTAAATCAGAAATCTGATTGGCTGCTTTAGATGTGGAAAGAAGCATAAATTATTCTGGAGATAGCATTTAACAATTATAATTTTGAAAGTAATTTATAAATGCTAACTTTCGTAAAGTCTTAAAGTCCCCAAATTTCACAGCAATTATAAATCGCTTTTCTACCAGTTCAATCTTCATGCTGATAGGTATTTTGGTTTGAATAATAATGATGTAAAGATCAGCAAGGCAGAACTATCAAAAGTAAATCTAATTTTAAATAAAATTTAATTAATCTTTATTTCAAGTGATCATAACTCATTCAAGTAAGGCTGATTTCAGTTTAAATACTGTTGCATTTTGAAATATGATAAGTGCTCACGGCTTAAACTGATATGTATAATTATGTGAATTGTTAAATCTTTATGCAAAATTAATTCAGCTCATATCTTACTATGTATGGAAATATCAGTAGTAAAACCGCCATTTCACTTTTATATAGACATATAGTAGTAAAAGGAAAATGCATTCAATTTCAATAAGCATTAGTAGATGGTAAAACATTAAGATGAAATAAAATTATACCAGTTAAGGTTATCTGCTACACAGATGCCAATTTGAAGAGTATAAACCACATGAAATTACTTATATTTTGATTAGAGTTTCTTAGTTAAAAATCAAACCAAAATATTGGAATCAACTTCAAAGGCAAGAAATATTTTCAAACATAAATGAATTTTCAAATTAAGATGCCATTATTTGTTAGTAAAATAAAAATACTTTTTATTTATTTGGTTAAGCTAAGTCTTAAATCTGATTGGATGTTGTAAAAAATACGACAGGTTGCGATTTTCTGAAGAACACTTACTGAAAGCTAGGGTCATTCTGCATAATGTCTGGTCGTGGAAAGGGGGGCAAGGGTTTGGGTAAGGGAGGTGCCAAGCGACACAGGAAGGTGTTGCGTGATAATATTCAGGGTATTACCAAGCCTGCTATTCGACGTCTTGCTCGTCGAGGTGGTGTGAAGCGTATTTCCGGCCTCATCTACGAAGAGACCCGTGGTGTTCTGAAGGTTTTTCTCGAAAACGTTATCCGGGACGCTGTTACCTACACTGAGCACGCTAAGAGAAAAACTGTTACCGCCATGGATGTTGTCTATGCTCTGAAACGCCAAGGACGCACTTTGTACGGTTTTGGCGGTTAAGTCAGCGTGCACCAATTGTTTTTTCTTTTGAATGTTATCGTTTCTTTGATTTTATCTTTGTTTGCTTAATGTGTACATAACTCGTTAATAAAGTACTGATCTCCTTAGAAACCGTACTCCATTCGTTCTTTGGAGTCGTGGGTATTGCGCCAACTTGGTGTCATTGTTTGCTAGTAGTGATATCGCTTATTTTTAAATTGGTCGAGTTAATACAGTATCTGTACGTGGTTTTGATTTGGTCGAGTGCTGTAGTTTTGTTTACTATTTATTTAACCAAGTTGATCTCCGGGCTAATTTGGTTTTCTATGGTTGGAAAAGCTCCTGTGTCATTCGAACAACCCAGATTTACAGTTCTTCGATTAGGAACTGCAATCTATTTCCTGAGCAGTTTCAATTAATGTTGTTAATTTGCGCTCACTTAATGGAAACCGAATTCAACGCCCATGCCATGTATGTTCTCAATTGAAAAAGGGAAAAGGTTCAGATGTGGATTATGTTAGTTGTGATTGAGAAATATGGTAAATTTTTTTCACTCATATGAATCACAGCTTAGAGTACTTCAAACTATTTCTAATATATTAGATCTGGGGACTGCTAAAATCATGCAGAATCATTTAGCCTTCTCTTGAAGTGCTAAGACTGACCACCACGGTTAGATAACCGACCAGTAATCGTTCTCCATCGAATTAGAAGAGGAAAATGGCGCTCTCATCTGTGGCCTTGACGCCGTTATTTTGACCCGTATCATTTTAAAAGCTTTTTTGTATGGTTTAAAAAAATCAATCAAGCTTAAGAACATAATTAGGATAACCGAAGTTACACCGATACTTAGAGAATAGTACGTAAAAACAGTATCTTTCACATGAGAAACAAGTGTGTGTAAAAAAACAACTAAAAGCTCGTAAAGCCGCGACAGAGTTCACTTGAAATAAAAGTAAAAAGGGGATAATAAAACCTGTAGATCTTACTAGATGGTAAAACAGATTATGAAAAATTTCATTTCCGCTACATTTCCACCTTTTTTTCACCACCCTAACAGCAGTACCTGGATGCGTTAAACGATGGCTCTAAAAGCACTGAATTCAATCGACAGATTTTCGAAGCACTATACCCACTTCTAATTAATTAAATTCACATCGCCCCGCTCAACTAAAATGAAATCCCACTTGCCTAAACACGCAACTTTTAAGTTCTACTCAGAACTGTAAAAGAAACTTAAAAAGAGTTTCGGAGCTAATGCTACTGGGTTATGAGGTACCACTAGCCATTTAGCGCCCGAATTATTTTCTTGGAAAATGTAACCAGCAGCAATCACGCATGCCTAGGCAGACCGATGTCACCGACCTGACGAGTTTTTGTGGTATCAAAGGCTACAAGCGCATTAAACATGTTTCAAACGACAAAAAAATGGCCTCAGAGACTATCCTCAATGCTAGGTTTTAAAACTGCAATACGGCTCTCGTAGATTCTAAAAACGACTAGTCCAAGTATTGAACTAACTAAGCCGCCCGACAAAACCGCATGTTAATTTGGTTTAAGGGCACAACACAAATTGATGCGAACTTAGCCAACGCTTATCACAGCACAGAAGGGATTTAAATGGTGGCATTGACGATACCCAAACTAGCACCAACCCTTGCAAAACAATTAGACAAGCACCGACACAACACAATTTGTAATAAACAAAGAATTTAATATTCGAAATACCACATTTATTAACCCATATTTAAAAATAGACGTCATAGTTCGGTTATCCTTGGCATTATAAACTCTGAAAATAACACGAAGTCACATTAAAAATTATTTCTCAGAACAATTTTTTTCATCAAAAAGCAGGCATATGCTTGTCAAAACTCATCAGTTAAACACTTACCTCCAATTTTAATTCGAGGTATTCAAAACTCGATTTCACTGCTTCAACCTAAAAACAGTAAGTCATTAGCAAAACAGAGCATTCAGAATATTTTTTTCATTAGAGAGCAGACATATGCTTGTCGTAGATCATCATGAGATTTCTTACCCATAAAGCGCACCATATCTGTATTTCGAGCCCAATTTGAACATCATATTCATATTGAAAAGCGATTTTACGTCAACTACAAAAGAAACGAAACTTATTTACGGGAAACGATAAAATGGACAAAAGTGTAAGTAAGAAGCTTACCACATAAGTTTGACTGTCAGGTAATCGTGGAAAAATGCCTGCAAAGAGAAGTACCGACCCAACTCAGTCTTTATGTATCAGATTACTAAATTCATAACCATGCAATAGGAATAAGCGCACAAGTCGACTGTAACCCAATTATCGCTCTCTTTCTTAGATTCTGAAACTCAATACAGAACCTTTTGAGTAGAGAGCATTATCATGTATCTTTGCTTTTACACCCGCACCTGATACTCAAGAGATACGAGCAAGATTACAAAGAATCGACATTTTGAGCAGCTTGTAACCCATTTCATAGCAGCCTTTCATCATCACTTACATGAGGAGCGCCAACGACAAGGGCTGGGATGACAAAGCAATATACTAAATGGTACGCTGGTTGAACTCGCGATAAGGTCAAGACGACAAAGTAAAACTGCATATTTATATCATACATTTCCATGAAATTAAATAGAAATTAATAATCTTTGCTATATAAAAAGTAAATTTGCAGTTTATGCATTAGTTCAATCATTTGAAACGTCGATTTAATAATACTATTTTGAATGTGGTATAAACCCGCTATAATCAATAACTCATATTACCGCTCGAATAATTTTACCTAAAAAATTCGCATTGAATTTCTTTTCGGTTTACTTTTCTCTTGTAAATAAGCATAAGGGGAACAGGAATATTCGAAATGAAATTTTGCTACGATATTGTGTTGAAACTTGTTGACTCTATGCCACCGAATCAATATGCGCATGCCTTAAAAATAGTTATTTCTGAGCACGTATTATTGATTATTAGATAACATGCTGATTAGCATATTTATTAAACATGAGTAATTAACATTTATTCACTCTTAATTAACATATCTTTTGAACTCGTTCAGCGAAAGCAAAGAGAATTGTACGATAATTAAAATTTCAGTAGTTTTAAGAGGTACATATAAAAGTGAAAAAATCCAATCATTTAACTATTTAATTTGATAATCATTCAAAGAAAATATTTTAAGCAAATATTTCGATTTAGATCCTCTAATGCTGAAGGTATTAATGCTAAAAACATGAATGATTAATGTTGACAGGACTGTATATGTTTTAGGAATAAGTCCCGGAATCACATTTTTAAATCTTTCGCTTCTAAAGATTCTATCAATTCTACCTGAAATTTCATATATTCTTAATAATTGCAGGTACTTCACCATATTTAACCATTTAGATTCCTTAAAGTTAGCGTTAATTGAATATTTAAATTTCCATAATTATTTTCGATCAATTATTAAGTTTATCTATCTCCCTTACCATTTGACACGAAAAACAGACTAAAATTCATGCACACAAAATGGCACCTTTACCACCAGCTCTTCCTGATAGACGTTCTGTATTTACTGAACGCAATTCATTAATATTTTTACATTTTCTTATTGCGTCTACATTCTCGAGTCTGCTTAAGCTTTTTATTAAGGATTCATATTCCATGAGCAAACGTATGTTTTATTTAATGATTTACGAATATTAGTACCAGATAAAATCGTATTCTCATAAATTTGCTATAAACTCATACTAACAGTTTGCTTTCTAGACACATGCTTACGAGATGAAGCATTAGAACCTTAGATTTCCCCGAGTACCTTATTCATTAATGAGGGGTAATAAGGTTACATAAAAAGGGTTGCAGTTAAAGATATTACAGCTAATTTATATAAGTTCTTTGGAAACGACTTGATATCAGACTTCAGAGGCAGGATTGGTTATCATTTTAATTTCGGAAAACGAAGCTGTTGTTCGCCAATAAGTGTATGTCCTTAAATTAGGGGTAACTTCAGTGTGAGTGAGTGATATGCAATGTGATCACCACAAAAATTGAACTTACAGGTGTTTTAAAAAGCACTTTATCAAATATCAAATGGAAGTATGTTTGTGAAGGATATGCCAGAGAGAAAAACATGTTCATGGAAATATTGACTCTTTTTTAAATGAGCAAAATTTCACTCAAAAAATATTCATAAAAAGAAATTTTCACTAAAATATAAGCTTAAAATGATTATATTGTACAGATGAAATAAGAGCCGCAATATTATTGAATGCCAAATTATTTCTTAACTAGGTTGCTTATCTTAGCTTTATAAATGTTCTGGAGTCAGACTGAATCATTCAGAATTTCATTTGACCTGTGTCAATGAACTTCGAACCCATAGCCTCAAATTCAATTTACTTACATCTTACCTCGTACACTCTAACAGATTAAAGAAAGAGCAGTATGAAAGTTACGGGTACCACCTCTTAATTTTGCGTTTCATTGCGATCTTTCGTGTGCAATGGAGAGATTTACACTTCATTGTGTTAGTAACTAATGGTTAGTAGTAAATGACAGTTCATAAATAAGGGCACAAAGAGTTGCGCAGACCAAAAACTATTGAACGAGCCACAACGAGCATTCAGCAGAGTAAGAAAGAGGAAAGAAAGGAAAGCAAGAAAACAGATAAAAGTCAAGTGTGTCTGCTCCCTTCTCTGCTTGCGGATATAAAAGAGGCTTCATAGAGTAGGATTAGCATAAACATTTAAAATTTATTTATTTCAGATGGCGGGCTTTATGATATTTATTATTAGCCCTTACACTTTGACATCAGCTTCCCCCATGGTGGGGGGGGNGGGGGGGGGGGGGGGGGTACATATATAGTAGTTAATCAATAGCAGTTCATTAGCTGTCTTCTTGCTTCACAGTATCTCTGGCTGGACATCGAATCAGGTGGGCCTTCTCCATTCCCCCATGTAGGTTACATAGGGTGGGTCTTCTCCGTTTCCTCCTGTAGGTCACATAGACAGGTGGGACTTCTCCATTTCCTCCTGTAGGTTACATAGAGTATGTGGGTTGAGTGTATACTCTCAATCTGTGAAGGTGTTTTGATTGTATACTCCTAATCTGTGAAGGTGCTTCGCCAGATTTCCTCCTGTAGGTTACATAGAGGGCATGTGGGTTGATCGCTAGACACCGAATCAGGTGGGTCTTCTCCATTTCCTCCTTAGGTTACATAGGGGGCATGTGGGTTGAGTGTATACTCCCACGTTACATGGAGGGCATGTGGGTTGAGTGTATAATCCCAATTTGTGAGGCCAGTGTATACTCCCAATCTTTGAAGGTGTTTTGCCAGGCAATCCGTCCGTACGTAGTCTAAACTCAGCAACGGCTTCGATTCTTGGCCAAAGTCTAAACGCAGCAACGGCTTCGATTCTCGACCAGTCGGCTATGTCGGTAGCAACGGCTTCGATTCTTGGCCAGTCGGCTATGTCGTAGAGTGACACTGTCCACTGTTTCTCCTTTGTTCGAGCTTTAAGTTCAATGCACCTTGAGGTCTGGAAATCTCTCCTGATTAAGGCCTTCATTTTATGGAAAGACATCGGCTGGACTATGCCTCGCAAAATTTTTGTCCCTTTTTAGCAAGTGCGTCAGCAAGCTCATTGCCTTTAATGCCACAGTGACCAGGAATCCATTGTAGGACCACTGTTTTGTTTTCTCTCTCAGTAGCTAATTGAGTTTTCTACATTCCTTTATCTCAGC